ATTACATAAACTTTCATTACATAATTAAAAACCATAATCAAATCTAAATTCTCTCGCTAAGATAAAGTCATACAAATCATAGTCATCCTTATCATCATCATCAGAATAAAAAAAATCATCATTTGTCTTCTTAACCTTCTTCTTCTTTTTCTTCTTCTCCTCACCTGAAGAGCTCTCATTAGTATAAACACATCACCTTCTACAAAAACATCTTGAATATGAGGATGGTTTTACACCACAACATTGGTCTCTACAACAACATCTTAATTCCGAGGCTGGTTTGACACCACAATACCCTCTACAACAACATTTGGGTTCTGAACATTGTTTGTGGCTTGAGCAGGATAACACATGTTGATTCCTTTGGATAAAGTTGTTTTTTTAGTCTTGGTCCTTCTGATTCTTCATCTTCTTATCTTGAAAATTTAAAAACCAAAGCTGCTCATCATTGTTTCTTTAATTATATACGCTTTCTTTTCACTTGGAAGTTGGAAAGATTGCATTTCTCGAGCTGTTCAAATTTTATTATTTACTTAATGGAACTGTGAAATTTTAATTAATATAAGTTTTGATATCAATTAAAAATTGGTTTAGTGTTGATTCTGGTATGAAAATTTGACGTTTATTCAAATACTATATCACAACGGTTATTATTAACAATCGTTGTTATAAGGCGTGCACTTTCCAGATTACTACGACTGTCACTGGACCGTGATTGTAAGTACCACATATACAACCACACGCTACATAACAAGGCCTGGTCCCGCGTAGTTATATATCTTTCCCAACTGTTGTTAAATGCATTTTCCGTAGTAGTGTATGTTTGGATCATTTTTCTGATCGCATTATTGTATGTCTGATTTATTTGATCCGATGTTTGCTGTAGGGTTTATTTTCATATTGTTTGTGTATAAAAAAAGTTTCTTTCATAATTATCATTCAAACTCGATTCATACATGGATAAGCAATTAAGTTTTTAATTAATTTTTTTTTGTATTTTATTAATCAATTAACTTGTTTTTATAGTTATTTTTAAATTGTTGTTTAAAATCTTTTTATTATAGTTTTTATTTAATAAAAAAAGTTCAAAGAACTCTCTCTCTCTCCAATCCGTTTGCATATCGTGTATTTTCTTTTTTTTTTTGTTTTTATTCAATTGCCACTTGTCTAATTATGATTGGTCGATGGGTTTTATTGGGAAAAATGAATAAAATTGTGTTGTTATGAGCAACCACCGCCCCGATATCCTGATTTGTTGTTATTTATTATTATTATTATCTTTACTATATCATAATGTTAGATTAGTTTTTTTTTAATGAATTTAGTAATAATAGAATTGTCCATAACAATAATAATACAAATATAAAACAAAAAGATCTCGTTCATTTTATTTATTTAGTCGGTCTATGTTAATTATTTATTTTAGTTAATTAGATTAGTTTACCATAGAATTAATATAGTCATCTAGTTATTTTTCCTTTCTTTGGTAAATCAAAAATATCAAAAAAATACTAAAAATAAATAATGTAATAAAAAAATTCTAGATAAATAATACGATTATTGGATGCACGTCCTCGAATAATTAAGTAGTCGTCTCAACGTCTTACCAATTAATTATTCAAATATAAATCAAGACACTCAAATCCATCAAAATCATTTTTTTTGCTCAACACGATTTAATTCTAATAAGGACCAACTCCTTATTGACTAATCAATTATTTCGCTCAACGTAATTTAATTCTAATAAGAATAAACTCCTTATCGATTCAAATCAATTACTTCTCCCCGCGCGATCTAATTCTAAAGAAGATCAACTTTTCTTTAACAAATCAAACCAAACATAAAACAGCTAACGAATCAAAAACCATTTTTCTACTAACATAATAAAAAACTCAAGAATATTTTCAATAAAGGATTGTTCAAATTTCTTTCAAATCAAATTTAAAATGCGTCTATGATCACTCAATTTTCAAACCCAGACAAAGTTCCAAATCAATTCGAAAGCGATTTTTCGACACAATCCTATAAAAAACACCAACCAAACAATATGAACTACAAAATTGGACTCTGATTCTTTGCAAGGAGAAATGTAGCCACACGGTTAAAACCAAGGCGAATACCGCGATTAAAAAATTAAATCTTTTTCTTAAACATATGCAAACATTAACTTCTAAATAAAAATCTCCGATCTATCCTTAAACCTAGAAGTGGAGCCCCTTGAGAACAAGGGAAATAAAGGGGGTCTAACACTTTCCCTTTACCTAACCAACTCAAGAACTTATAATCTCTAAGCATTTAGAGTTATCTGTTATTCTCTCGTCCTCAGGACAAAAATTAATGGCGGTGACTCGTTATTTCTTTCGGTTATGACACCAATAACCCTGGACTAGTCAGTTGAGACCGACAAAGGGCACCTTTCCATCTGCCTCCTAGCCGGGGACGCTTGGTCGACTGTACCCCAGAAATAGCAGAACCAATGATGCTCTGGACCATGCGCCTGCCCATGTTAGCAATTATTCCTTGTTCTACTCGACACACGTGGAGCAGACAACCAGGAACTCCTTTGACATGATTGCTCGTAGCCATACCCTTGCTCGGAGCAATGGCTAGTTACGAGCACGTCTTCCCGTCATAACAACTATTTTCTGGCAGTTACCTATTTTTGCTTACCTGATATCTAGGCCAAAAAATCGAGACCAATGACCAAGCACCGAGGGCACTATATAAACCCTCACACTTGTGAGAGGGAGGTATTCAATATTCATTACTTACTTCAAAAACCCTACACTTTCTATCTTGTATCTCTTTGAACTCTTTCTTACTTGAGCGTCAAAGTGCCTTGCAGGTACACACCTCTTCCTCATTACCAGCTTTGTAGACGAAGGTATCGACTACCTTCAAGTTTTGATCAACCGGTAAGATAAAAAATAATAGTTAAAACCGTTATAAATGGATACGACGTGAGACACATAATAACGTTAGGTTCAAATGAAAGGAGGACCCTATTTCAGTATTAGTGACCATTTGTTCGTCAGTTGATTTTATTGTATCGTTGACCAGACCAACACAGTACATTTACAACTCAAGTTTATGAAACCAACAACAACAACCAAGTCTTATCCCACTAAGTATGGTCGGCTACATGGATCAAGTTTCACCATAATATTCTATTTAGGACCATGGTTTTATCCAAATTGTTAATCCCGATATCTTTCTTAATAAGTTCTCTTATAATTTTTCTAGGTCTTCCTTCTACTTCTATCTATTTGACTCCTCTCCATTTGATTTATTTTCTTTACTAGATAATCTACATATCTTTTTTCTATGAGCCGATATGAGGTATTTACGTATTAACATTTTAATGCTCAAGTAAGTAAAATAAGAGAGATGAATATTGCATGGGTATAAATAAGTAATACCTCGACATAACATAGAGTCACATATATAAAAATAATAATTAAAACCATCATAAATGGATACGGCATGAGACACATAATAATATTAGATTTATAAGAAGGAAGAACCTTATTTCAATATTAGTGACCACTTGTCTGCCAGTTGATCTTATTGTGTCGTTAACCAGCCAAACACACAATATTTACAACTCAAATTTATGAAACCAACAACAACAATCAAGTCTTATCCCACTAAATGGAGTCGACTACATAGATCAACTTTCGTCATAATATTCTATCTAGAATCATGCTTTTATCCAAATTGTTAAACTCAAGATCTTTCTTAATAATTTTTCTTATAGTTTTCCTAGGTCTTCCTCTACCTCTATCTATTTGACTCCTTTCCATTTAATTTATTCTCTTTACTATAGAATCTACAAATCTTTGCTCTACATGTCCAAACCGTTGGGGCTATTTAGGGCGTCAACATGAGATAACATTTTTACATTAGGGGTTTTCCTTTTTTGAGCAACACACCTTTGTGAGAGACACACCACATACTCAATCAAGACCTTAAGGTGTATGAATTCTCTCACTTATAAATGCTCAAGTCTCCACATTTCTAATTAATGTGGGACTTCCCTACACTACCCACACTTGTTTTTCTCAACACAAACCATAAAATCTACTTTCTACTATTTTTTATTATAAGTACTACACCAACACTTTCTAATCTTATTATTTTTTATCTTATCATATCTAATCTTATCACTCATCTAATATGCAACATCATCGTGTTTGCTACAGTTAATTTAAATGAGTTTGTTTGAAAAGTGGCATTTTCTTATAAGTTTGTATAACGTTTTGACTTTAGTTCCTACAAATCACTCAAAACAAAGTGCTCACTTTTGATATCTTGGCACTAATGGAATAATACTTTTGAAGTACTAGGTTTGTACTTTGTGTCTTTGTGCTTGCTCACGCATGCGCAGATTCAACCTTTTCTTGTTTTTGTTTTCTAAGGTTCATGTGAATTAATCATATTTTGGAATGTGAAGGAAATATTAAATGAATAAAGTAATAGTAATCACTATGTTAGCTAATTATTCTTCTAACCATGAGAGAGAACGCACTAGTGGTAATGTTAATGCACTCCACTATTACCAGATAAATATTGTGTCGCATGTTACCTCCAAAAGTTGTAAAAGTTTATTGATGTGTATAAAAAACTTGTACTAAGAACGGAAACAACTCATCCATATAATGAAACATAGTAGAGATCACTTAAAATTGATATAATATCAACAGAAATTAAAGTTGCAAACCAAAACACACTTATTTCATGACTTACAATTCAATTCAATTCAACTTGAGTTGAACTTGAGTGTAGATTTTCTATTAGTGTTATACCACTCTGCATTTCTACATAGCCTACAACCTAATAAGCTAAAACATAACCAATAACAAAACAAAATTAGATCACCCGTAGCCGCTATACAGGTGTAGCGGTTGCACAATCATCATATCCGAAAATCTATTAGTATTGCAGCTGCAAAACCATTATGATATGATAATGATTTTGCAGCCGCAGTATTAACAAACTGATTAACTTTTAATTGGTTCTTCCAATTCAATGTCAATGTAATGTGGCTTGTGAACTTCACCTTCAACACAATCATCATCATCAACTCCAATAGTAGCCCAACCACATTCAAAAGCAGAATCCAAAAAATAGAGCATAGAAACAAGGGCAAAGCAAGAAAACACCATAGGAATAGGTCCAAAGATCCACATGAAAAGAGGAAAAGAGAAGTAAAAAGCACGCAAACCAAGTGACCAGAAATAGCTTCCACGGTTAACTGTGTTTGCAACATACTCAGCTTTTAGCTTCTGTTGCCTAAGACTTGATGACAGTTTCTTGAATGGAACATTGATGAGTATGCTTGCATGACTATAGTATCTTATTGATTGAACATTCAACAAGAAAGCTAACAAGAAACAAACCAATATTGCGAAAAACTTTATTGACAAAACTAGCTCAGTCCTATCACCAAACACCACAGCTACAACACCTCTTTCTTCATTTCTACTACTCATCAATACAGCAATAAGAGAACTCAACATAATTGCAGTTGAAGCCAAAAGAGTTGATGCCATTATGTTGTTTCTCAATGATTGCACTGCCAAAACTCCATTCTTGGATACATCCTAACAAAACATAAACCACTTTCATTAACAAAATTGATTAGATATAGATAAACATGATTGTATGATCATAAAATCAAAGTAAGATAGGCAGGCACTTTAGGTTTTAAATAATGGTCGCAGTCACGTAAAAACTATTACGATTTCGGTCTGTATATGTATTGTAACAATGATTACGGTCATCTGCCGCAAATTAATCACAATTTATTCTTTATCATAAAGACGGTGAATAACTATATCAGTCTCAGCATCTTTCAATACCGTTTTATTTTGTATGTTTTTTAAAATCCCATTAATCAAAATCCAAACTTGAGAACAAAGAAAAGAACATTAAGGAACAAGAATTTGAATCGTTCTTGTTGGTAGTACAATTGAGAATATGAAAAGGAAAAAGGGAAGAACATTATAGGAGCCATGTGAACGTACCTCCATCATAGCTTGGACCCATAAACGACGATTGATTGAATTGACACCAATGACAGTTTTTGTGGGGTGTTTAACGATTTGATAGAGAAGCCATAAATGGTATGCGATCATTATAACGAGACCAGTAGGGACTAGTATGACATCAAGGATTTTCTTTTCCATTTTATGGCAACGATGAATGAGAAATTGGAAATATACAGAAAATGGATTCTGAGATTGAATCTGATTTTGTTACGTGGAAAGATTGAAAAGATGGAAGACAGCAGAAAGTGCAAGTGCTGCACGGGTGTTGGCTTGTTTGTTTGGTAATTGAAATGAGTAAATAACTAACTATATTTCCACAAAACATGGGGGTTTTATAATGAGTTGTGATATTTTGATACGCTGGTTTCGTAACAAAATTTTATACTTCTCCTCTTGATGCTTATGGGGTCATGTTCCCTTCATCTTCTCAAATGTCTTTCAATACTATTACATGGTTGTACAAGTCTTCGGTGTGGTGGGACGGAGTAGAATTGTAAGATTAATACTTCAACGTTTAAGTTTAAAAAAAATTACATTGGTGTATTTTATAAGAGTGAAAAATAAATCATTCTTTTAATGACGCGTGAAAGAGTTTATATATGATAGGTGGTTAAAATCGTTCTCGTTTGATCAGAAGTGCTTTAAAGAGAGTCGTCCACTTAGAACTGTCAGTGGTTGATGCATTGATAGCTTGAATCAGGTTTCTGATAACGAGAAATCATATCGTATTTTTAGACTCATTACACGTATTTTATCACGTTTTATTGCATTTTACTTTGTTTCCTTGTGTTTTGCAGTTATCAACTTCATCCGTCGCGGATTCGAAAGCTAACCGAAAAAGGAGTGAAAGAAGAGTGAAAGTGCAGCAAAAGAAGCAAAATTTGCCCCTGTTACTGATATGGTGTTCGCCATAGGTAGATGACGTTCGCCACCCCTTAACAGTGCCACGTTATTTAATGAAGGAGGTAATGGCGTTCACCATTGCCCTAATGGCGGTCGCCATTTTGCTACAAAAGACAGTTTTCTGCGTGGGAACAGTTTTTCAACTGTTTTACTCTTCCTTTTTTTTCCCTCCAACAACATGGGCATATACTAGGCCTTAATGCTATATATATATATATATATATATATATATATATATATATATATATATATATATATATATATATATATATATATATATATATATATATATATATATATAGGACCTCTGGGTCAGTTTTCGGGACATCCAAGTTGTGCGAAAGCGCTGTCGAATTTGCTTCATAGTTCTAGGCATATATTTACTTGTAAAAGTGAAAATAACACACATCGAGGGATTGCCACACTTATTTTTCTTTTCATTTTCGTTGTACTCTTGGATCAAGAAGAAGTCTGCCGACATTTTAATTTCAGTTCGCATTTTCTTCATTTCTCAGGTTTTTATTACTTTATCATTCATTTCTCGTTATTGCCTTTTCAATATTGTATGCCATGTTTTCTTTAAATTCAACTATGCCGTTTATGTTGTTTTTAATCAGAATAATGTCTTGCTAAATATATTTGAGATCGGTGTATGAGGACCGTCGTCACCGAGGGGAATCAGTAGAAAACTTTAGGTGCAAAATTATGAATATATGATTATTTTGATTTTAGTTTCTAAATTGCATGCTTTATTGTTTCGACACGAGAGTGAGGAATAAACTAAAGTTCAACCTGATAGCGCGAGAGTGTGAGGAATGAACTTGATAGTGGAAAATAGACATCGATCCTAAAAATAGCGAGAGCGCTTTAGGCATCATTTAGAATTTTATTGGCTTTCAAAATATGCTTTTTAATTAACGGACGAGCGAGAGAAAAATCTTGTGACTATGAAGTGTGGTTCTTGTCAATAGAGCGAGAGTGTGAGACAGATTATTTGAGTCAAATTAGCACTTGTATTCTGCAGATCCCTTAGGAACATGAATTCCATATTCCAGACTCGTTTTGTCTTCATTTTCAAACCTTTAGCCACTAATATTTTTATTCCCGTTCTTGTCATTTTAACCTTTAGCCTTAGTTGTGCATTGCAACATAGATAACATTAGTTTGATTATTTGTCTCTACGGGTTCGATAATATTTTAAAACTATGCGATAGATTGTATACTTGCAGTTACATGTTTCGACAGACTCATAAAGTCGCGACCAAGTTTTTGGCGCCGTTGTTGTAGGCTAATTTAGTCAATATTGTGATTCAATTGTTGGGCAGTATAGACTAGGGAAACTATTTTCCTTTTAACTCGTCTATGTCAATCACTCACTCACAAGGCAAAGAGTTAGAGTAGCCAATTGACGAAATCGAGCGCTTTGCTAATTTAAGACGCCAAATTAACGAGTTTTATATTAGATAATCTTCCAGACACTATTATCCCAGTTCCAGAACCAGAATCAATTATGGCTCAAGGACCACAAAACCGTCCTCTGAAGTATTATGTTATTCCATCGCAAGAGGAACCATACAATAACTTTTCTTCCTCTGCCATCAACCAAAATGATTTCGAGTTGAAACCTCCGCTGTTATCAGTCGTTCAACAAAATTAATTTTCAGGAAGTCCTACGGATGATCCAAACTTATATTTGTCAATATTTGTGCAATACACAGACACAATGAAAGCAAACAATGTCAGTCAAGAAGCGATAAAACTACGTCTTTTCCCATTTTCCTTAAGAGATAGAGTTAGAGCTTGGCTCCAATCTCTACAATCCAATTTTGTTACCACATGGAACGAACTGAAGAAAGTCTTCTTAGCTTGATATTTCCTGTAACACCATCTAAACCCCCGCACAATAATATGGCATAATCAGAGTAAAATTATCATGCATATCAAAAGAGGGCGTCACATGTATTTCAAAACCAACACAAAGACACCGATCATGCTCGTAACACGCATTTAAAATCATATTCCATACACCAACACATATGCATAATACAACAGAATAATTCTCTTTCATAATGATACCAATAATTGAAATCTCGTAATGAAAATTATATAATAAAATATTAGCCACTAAACTCATCACATAATATCAAAATACAACATAAATAAAAGAAAGTATAACAAACATCTCTTAAAACAACATGAGTTCAAAATTTCCCTGTGTTACATGAATCATGACTTACTACCTAATAAGTGGAAAAACAAGAAATAGATCCTCCAACTAATCCTTGCAACAAGCACCACTATCTTCAGTATCTAAGTGTAATACAGTGGGAGAACTGACTTTAGGGTTTTGCGTTTTATCGTAAATGTTGCGGATAGCAAGAGTCGCCACCGACTTTTCTTTTATCTAATAAAGGAAAGGGTGAAAAGAACATGAAAAACCTTTTGAGAATTTTCTGAGTAAGGGGGTAGGCTATGAAAAAGGAAGGTGTTAGCACCCTTTCCTTCATATTTTTCTACAGGCTCCTAATTGCTAGCTCACTTTGAAAGTGCTTCATGTTTGTGTATGTTTGAAAATATTTTGAAAATGCCTAAGTGCAGCAATTTTGTAATGATTCTCGTATCGTTGAGAATGTATACAAAATGTTTGTTTTGAAAATATTTATTGGAAGAAAGTGTTTGGTTTGTGAAAAGATGTTTTAAAAATACCAATGCAAGGAAATTTGCTTTATAATAACCCTTGTATCAGTCCTCAAGAGTGTTTATAAAGAATTTTGAAAGTAGTTGTTTTAAAAGTGAAAAGTGTGGAAATTGTTTTAGTTTGTGAGCAAGCAATTACGAGCAATCTACCTACTCAGAAAGTATTTGTTATTTTCCTCCTCCTCTAGATAGTGATATCCTACCATTAGTTAGTAAGAAGCCATATCATTGGATGTGAAGGACAAGCGTGGGTCATCGTACAATCATAGAAGGCAACTTATAATATGTTTTAGCAATTGTCGTAAGAGACTAAGATCGTTTACCGAAGGCAGCATCGAAGGGTCATCGAGGAACTACAATCTTTTAACTGAGGGTCTTTGCTAAAGTAATCCATGTTCGAGGGACATGACTTTTTAAATTTGAGGCAACAAGTGAGGGTTACCTTAGAGGTGTGTGTGTGTGTGTGTGAGTAGTGTTTTGATTTCAAGTATCTTGGGATTAGGGTTTTGCTACCGGTTGATTTTAATCTTGCCATACAAACCCTAATTACTAACAGTAATAAGGAAAACAGCAAATTACGGAAATCAAATGTCTTACGCTATTACAATGCTTCGAGAATGGGGGTACAAAATTATGAATGGGGATGAAAAGAAAAATAAACCCTAATTAAAGCTATTATAGACTATTAGCAGTTACAATATTGGAAAATATTAATGCGAAAATAAAGTGTGCGAAGGTGGTGAAAAGGGAAAAGATGTTTTAAGAAACCCTAAAATATTTCTAAGTGTTTAAGAAAATATTTTGTTGTTTTTGTTTAGAAAAATATTTGATAATGTAAAATAATAACAAAACCTAATTTTATTTATTTTATAAATTAATTAACAAAATAAAACAAAGTGATCAAATTAAATTAATTTGTATTTATGAAAATTAAATTAATTAATTAAAATCTAAAGAATTCTAAGTATTTACAAAATATTTTTGTTGTTTTCATTTATAAAAATATTGAAAGTGAATAATAAAAATAAAATCTAAATCTTAGTTATATTACAAACTAATTATTTAAAATAAAATAAGGTGATTAATTTTTATTTATCAAAAATTAAATTAATTAATTAAAAACCTAAACCTAATTTTTTTTATTATTTTATGATTTTTTATTGATTAAATAAAAAATGAAATTAAAAAAGAAAACAATTAACTTAATAATTAAAAAAAAAGAAAAGAAAATTAATGGGCCAATGTTTCCAAAAGAAATTCGGGGGGGTGATAGAAAGCAAAAATGTTAAGCCTGGAACTAAAGAGCCCAGGCGCCTGTTTGTGACCTGGTGGGGATGACTCTCTGGGATGTACCATGGGCATGACTTTCTGAAGCGCTAGATCTGGAGTTATGAGATCTGATGGTTGTTATACAGAGATGTACCATGCGCGCACTAGGCTTGCCTGTGCTAGATCTACAAGGAACAAATATGTGAAAAATAAAAAGGTATCATTGGGGCTTGAACCCAGGTCCCTATAGTAACACGCGTGCTTATTTT